CCCCACACCCCCACCCCCCCTCCCCCCAGGTGGCACGGCCCTGACTGCCTATCGTTTCCTTGAAACCAATATCACGATTGGCTGATTGAGCGCAGCTCACTGATAGAGCGCTCTTCGCATGCGTAAAGACTGGCACTAGTTTTCATTGCCTTCAACTTTTGCTTTCAAATTTCCGGTTGGAGGTAACCACTGCAGAACATTGGCAATGACCACCGATCCGATGGGTTTCAGACAGCTCAGCCATTATGGACAGCTCTGACAGCCATTATGGGAGGTGTGACAAGTCCTTATTGGATCGGATGAATCAGAAATTATTAAATCAGAAACCACCATTTGTATTATTATGCGTCACAAAAAAAATCCTTGTAGGGCTTTAGGTTATGGTAATTGCTAGATAGTATACTTCAAAATAAGGTTTCCGTTTTTATAACGTAGAAAAAACCATCCTAATGCAAAACTAAACCCAAACCCTTATACTAATCTTAAACCCTAACCCCAACCCTAACCTAACCCTAACTTATTTAAAAAATTGATATAAAAACGAAAACCTTATTTTGAAGTAAACTATCTAGCAATTTCCTTTAGGTTATTTGTGGCGAACTAAATTTGACGAATTGGCAGATTTGCAAACAAATTACAAAATTAAAATTCATGGCTGGATGATGTTAGTGGGTAAATGTGGGTTTGAGTACATTGCTTCACTAGGCTACAAGACATTATCACCTGGTTATTGCTTAGTATGGCCTAGTATGGCTATCGCGTACTTGTTTGACTATTGCCATTCTGATCATGATGTGGTTGGAATGAAGTCGACAAGTCTGTCAGAATGTTCATTGTCACAGATTGCATGTTGGTTATATTCTATGTTACAACAATATCTCCTAATTTTCCTAGAGCACAACGTAAGACTATTTTTTTGTTAAAAGAGAACGGCATAAAATCAACCCAGTAAGATATTAATATATCTAATATCAAACCTGAATAACAGGATCTCCGTATTTGATGTCTTTGACGCTAAACTTGAAATCGCCATAATTGAGTTTGAGCCGTTGGTCCGACTTGTAACCCCTACACGATCCGGGTCTTTTATCGGCATGCCAACTATCTCCACTGCGTCTGAAATCTTCACCGACCCACTGAGCACGGCATCCTGCACACCAACCATACCCGAGGTAGTGTGCCAAGTAAGCGAGATCACCCATGGTCAAGTCCATTACCCTTGTTTTCACATCAGATAGAGTTGTCAGAACTGGCGGGCCTAAGGTTTTGAACAGTTAAAAATATGAGAGTTTTGTTATGCCACGATTTAAATTATACTAGCTGGCTCACTAAGATCAAAACTGATCTGGCATGGGGGTCTATATAGCTTTGCCCACAGCTGCACAAGTGAGCTAGGGGCCATGAGGAGCGACGAAGCCTCGATCCGCCGGCAAGATATATACAGTTATACAGATCAACTTCAAAACTATGTGGAAGGAATAGAGCTAGTTATAACCTAAACATGGAGTAAATGGTCATTATCAATTCCAAAAATAGTTTGTTCGAAAATTAGGCAAAAAACTGTTTAGCCAAATTCGAAAGCTTTTAGGGCAGCAGTTGTACGTACACCAACTGGAGATTGATTTCAGTAACCATTCTCTTTACTAGTTTTGGTTTACTTGGTGGTCCAAAGACTCACATATACCTACCTCGTATGGTTAATATCAAATATCGGCTACCTTCTCGAAAATAAAATCTAAAGGCACAGCTTATAGTACATAAGCGACTGTGCTAACGAGGTAGCTAGCCTTATGTCGAGGTTTCTCCGTACCTATAACTTACCATAAACTATATATAACTACTTCACTGTATTAACAGGGTTCCACCCAGGGCGCTCCTGGTTCCACCTTGCAGTGCAACCTTATATTCCACACTCTGTGAAGCGGACACCTCGGGTAAGGTGTAAATGAGTTATACAGTTGGTCGGATGGAAAGTTCCGTCTAGAGAAAGAAGACAACCTTTCCAGGCAAACCGTTTAAATTTCGGCAGCAATCTTCTGTTCAAAGATGTCCGTTATACGGAATTTCCACTGCAACTAACTACCTAAACTGACTAAAAACTTCACTATCAACTGATCATAAAGTAAATTTCAAAAGTGAAGACGTCATTAATTAAGTATAGTAACGGGACTCACTTGGGTACATTTTACAACATTTGATTTTCTCAATACATCTCAATCCATCACAGCCCCCTCTATACAAGCCAGTCATGTAATATCCGTCGTTGCATTTACTCGTTCCCTTATTGTCGAAGGAAAGCCTAATATCTTGATCATAACAGTCGCCCCACCAATAAGGATGGTTGGCTGGTTTGCAGCATTTCCCGTACTCAATGTTGTGTAGGTTATTACCATCACTTCGATACAAGCCTTGTAGAAAATGGCCCGAAGAACAGGTGCTCCAACGATTGTTGCTAAAATTTTGTTAAAATTTCAGTTGTCTTCACCATGCTGGATACATAAGCGACACATGAACTACATGTAACATAAACAGATCTTCCAAGTCTCCCGCATTTGGAGTCATTAATCATCTACCTCCCACATGAAGACAATTTGAAGAAATCTCCCGCATTCCTTGTGTTTTACTTGCACACAGTAGTGTTGGGAGTGCTACCAGAAAAAACTAACAAATTATCTATGCACATGCAGCTGAGCAAGAGTGCTCTGAATGCAGTATTCGTTTTAAGGCTCTCTTAAACGAAGTGCTCACGGCAATCCCTTAGTCCCCGCGAGATTTGTTGAGCTCATGTTTATTGTCAGCTTACGTCAACGCAGAAATATTGTAATCTCCCTCATTTTATGCACCACGCCTTGGCAGGCCTGCATAAATTACAAAGAATTGAAGCAAACAGCAATTGTCTCGTCTATAACACTGCCTTTGGTCAGTTTAGTTTGGTTAAGTTTCAGAACTAGGAGTCCGCAAAAAAGGAAATGAAAGTAAGCAGTTAAAGTAGTTTATCTGTATATCTTATGGATTTGTTTTCACTGTAGTCCTATTGTCCGATTCGAAAACTTGCCACCACAATTTTATTTTACATTATTTTATATTCTATGCAATACACAAGGCAGAGCCCGTAGAAGTTTGATCAAGCAGCAACTCCAGTACTTTTAAGCCTTAATTTCTCAAAGACAATACATTACATGATATTGTATTTTTATTTTGCAAAACTGATATTCCGCTTGATGTATTTTAGAAGGCGGCAGTGATTACCTCGGACCTCGGTTGAAATTAATTTCGGGAGAAATGAAAGAATGACAACCATCTTTCGAATCGGTCTATAATAAAGTATAAGTCTTACTTGTCTAAACTAGTGACCCAGTCGGCAGCCATGCACTGTGTCGGTTGATTATAGTATGGTTGAGTGCGTCCACAACATCTCACTTCTTCAAGAAGGTAAATTTGATCATCTCTTCTGTCGTTCCTATACAAACCGTTGATGTATTGGGTCTGTGATGAGCAGGTCGAATATCCTTTTTTGTCAAAACTGCTCCACCAGTTAGCCATGGAACAGGAAGTGGCCATTGCCGAAGAGAATAGGAGAGGGAAAACTAATGTCAAGCTCAACATTTTGAAGGTAAGAATCCTGAAATCATAATAAAATATACAGTTGGTAAATATTTATATAGATAGATCAAAATTTCAAATGTAACTTGTAGACATTTAGGCTATGTTTACATTGTATCGGATCAGTTTTTATTTCATTCGCGAAAAGTTACGGCCCAAGTGTAAACAGCTTCCGTGCCGCCCATCTATGCCGTCGTATTTCTTCTATATATTATTAGAATAGTAAGTTGTTGTTTGCCAGATTCCATCTTGAGTCACGCATTGAACCGAAATTGCTCCGATTGGTGTTTACATTACAATGAGAGCGTTGCAAAAACCGATCCGATACACCGCGCACCACTTCGAAGAGCGAACCGCCGCACCACCGGTTCGTTGCAGAAAATGAGACGATAACAACATTTCATATGTAAACAGAAGCCCTATCCGGTATCGTTTTTGCGTCGGACGCAAAGTGATCCGACTTACCTAACAAGGAACTAAAATAAAACTATACTAGCCTATACAGGCCCTGTGGCAGGAATCAAAACTAATCGAATCCTGAAATCAAAGCGTCAGTTGAAATTTAATTTAGAGAGCATTATACTGTATAGATAAACGAAGTCAGTCTAAGGAAAGTCACCAATATTTTTACAGGGCTAGAATTGTAAAGTCTTACTGATAAGAAAGACAATTAATTGTGAATTGATGTGACCAGGACCTCAGAATGACATTTCGTCAAAACGTTTTTCTTCAAGATTGGTTGGGAAACAAACTTGGAGTAGGGTTAGTGTTTGGGGTAGGGTTAGTAAAACCATTGTCATTTATTGTAGCTAAACCTAATATGGGTGTCACTATAGGCAGTAAGCATAGAGATTGCCTTACTTACCAATAGTTAAGTGACTTTTCAGCGTCGAACTTTTCCAGAAACTCTTCTTCAAACAGTCTCCAGAGTTAAAACTTTTGTGAAGCCTGATTAGAAATCGTGCTGTATTTATCCGCTCATCTAGTCAAATTAATTTATTTGCGCTAGAAAATTAGCAAATTGTTCAATTTTGAACAGTCAATATAGTCATTTAGGTGATTAAATAGAATAACTTCAAGTAATTGTTGTTTATCTTCAAGTAATTGTTGTTTATCTCGCCCCACCCCAAGGCCTTTTTAATTTACGCTTCTTGTTCATTATCATATCATATCACAACGTATTTCGGACTATTTCCTTGTATTTCATGTACGTTCCTGATAAATCTTTTACAGTTATTGACATGAGTCATAATTTTACATTGCAGAACTGCACAGTTACCCTGGATTCTAGAGCCTTCACGACGTTTCAATTTATTATTTACTGAAGGCTCTGGAATCCAGGGTACTGCACGCAGTAGCCTGCGGAGGAAACTATACGCTGGTGTGATTGTAATTATAGAAATTGCCCGTAATTAATATATATAGAGAAATGTTCGCTACGGAAAGGTTCGACTACTTCATGCGTACGTTAAAGTAATGAAGTGGTTCTTACAGGGTCGCAGTTGCGCAGCCGACAACGGCTGAAAACAGAATCACTTCTTTGACGTCCGCGATCTGTCTATTGATGTAAATAACGCGGCAGTTCGAACAACACGGCGTACTGTAGAAAAGACTGCAATATATGGGCGGTCCATGTCTAGTTTATATTATCATAAATTCGCGGCACATTTTGAATTTATCATAGTGATAAATTTGCGGCATTTAACCCCTAACACTAACTAACCCCAACCCTAACCACCAACCCTTTTAATTTTTTTGAAAATCTAACTTTTTAAACTTTTTTTTCTTTTTAAAACTTTTTTAAAACATTTTTTTATTTAAGATTGGGTAAAAAGGTTTTTTCATTTTTTAATTAGTAGTTGGATTTATAACAAATTTTTTACCAAGAAAAACATATGCATTTCTCCTCGGTGGCCATCTCACTAAAGTTCATGCAAAAATGCACAATCGATTTTTCGGCTTAATTAAATGCAAACGCGGAAATAACACAACATCACTTAAACAACAAAGATAGTTTAGAAAGCTTTAATTGAATGTAACTATTTCATATTTCAATGACATTTTAATCAGTTCTTGGCTACATGCTATACTACAAAATTAAGCTTCTGTACGTTGTAACAATTAAATCATCCGTTTTAACCCAAAACCTTCTCTTGTTTTGTTTTCTCCTCGTACTTGGAGGGCGTGATTGTGACCGCAGGTGGTGCTGGGAATACTTCGGGTGGATTCTCATCATTGAGGGATTCTGGGTAGTCTTCTTGAGCCAAAGATAGTTTTCCAATCAACGATCGTTTCTTACCACTTAGATTCTCAGT